GGGGGGGGGTTTACCGCCGTTTGCTTTCTTCGTACCTGCGAACAAGTTGTATTACAAAGTGGGGCTTACTTCTAAGTAAGCAGGCGTCTGTTGTTTCCCGGAGTAATGGGAAAAGGATAATAAGATTTCTGAATGGGTCTTCCTCTGAACAGCCCTATGCATTATTATAAAAAAGCAAAAAACAATAGCCCTAAGCGTTGTTTTAAAAAGTAATTCTGTTACAGAAAGGAGTTCCGCGAACGGAGTTGACAATGGCACGCGAACATCCCAGTTTAATAGCGCAGCCCTGTACTGTATATATCTTTTTAACTTAAAAGGCCAGCCTTCTACAGCTGGATTTACTCCAAAGTAAATGCATGCAAGATCGCAGCCTCGCAAAGGAACAAAAGGCTTGCGGTTGTTTGCAAATAGCCGTGCGACACCCAGGTGAATTGCGCCAAAGTAGCGGCGAGGACTAATCGGGAATAAGCAAGCATTAAAACCTAATAGTCCAATTAATCGTCGTTTGCCCTGGTCTCTGCGGTCATGCCTGCTATTATAACTATCAGGTTTAAGAGGCCCATTGGTGGACAGGTGGGTGTTTGGTACAAGGAGCTAAGCTAATTACCCTGGTTGGAAAAAGAGGCTTGTGAAGTAGACTATTTTAAAGAAAAAGAGGCCATTTACTAAATAAAAAAGATTTGCATCTTTTTCTCATTCCTCCAGGACCGGCCCTGCCTGGCCATCTTACTTCTTACAAACAACCATTAAAGGTAGAACAACCCTGTTTCCTCGGCCCTGCCTGGCCATCTTACTTCTTACAGGCAACCATTAAAGGTAGAACAACCATGTTTCCTTCAACTATGGCGTAGAAATCTTTTAACCCACCACACATATTTATTGCTCTGCATATTCCCCCCCCCAAAAAAAGGATTCCCGGTATTATAGGTTGCAAATATGCAAAAGTTATAAACACATAATGAAAATGATACACGCTATAAAACTGCAATCTATATAGGGATAATCTGTAAGATTTCTAAGCAGTTTATCACATCCTGCCATATTATCTGAACATAGAACCACCCAGTCTCACCTCCCAAGACAAGTCTGTTTCACTGCTCTGAACATTTCTTTTTTTCCTAATGAAATTGCTCCACTGCAATTTCACTCCATGGATTCTGCCCTGTAGTGCCACCTGGTCACATATTTCAAAAACAGCATCCATGTGATGCTATTATAGAGCAAAAACAAAGGGATAATTTTGTGACGTCTTAAGATCTGCTGAATGTATTAACCTTTTATGGCCTAATAGGACACTCCGTTAATTGTGTTCTCAGATTTTTATATTTAAATTGCTTAGCTTTGCTTGTAGTTATATGAGCATTACAGAAGTTATATATATAACATCTTGTAGCATTCTGATAAAATTTGATAAGAGATCTTCTTGTAATTTCTAAACAGCAAAAACAAAGACACTGGACACAGAGAGACATTCCCTTCACCAAGAGTGTATTTACAAATATACATACGTTGCACCTCAGAACTGGTAATTCCACAATTCCAACAAATTAACGTGCTGCTCCTCCATACATCAACCCAACAAATAAGCTTAGTAAGTGCCTTGCTTATATAGTGTGACTACTGTATTAGAGTGATGTGATGGTAAGAGACAGACTTCACAAAAGAAGGCTGTCTAATGCTCAGTTGTTTGTGTGTATCTGAAAGTCTATCACTCATGCTTATTCCAGGCATCATTTTCACCAAGTAATATGTTTATTCTCAGCAGGACCAATGTGCTTTTAATTTAACTTGATAATCCTTCTTTTGCTTTCTGTTTTATCATTTATGTTTTATACTATTCAGGTACCTGCACGTATATTGGGTTATCTAACTGTTGAAATCAGTATATGAAAAACTGAGGAGGAGTACTTTTGTGTTATTCCATACACACATTTGACTGAAAGTGTTGAAACAGCAAAATTTATCTCTTTATAGTTTCCATTGCCTGTCTTGATTTTTTCTTGATAGAAATTATTACAGAAGAGAGAACCTGTGTAATCCTCTATCTGTAAACACCTCACCCCCCAAAAGACTACACAGATGGTACATCAGTTTTTCCACCTGGCTATAATTTTTTGCCAACAGTAATGAGGAACCTACAAGAGGAGGTGTTGTACTGGAAATAACTGTGGTTGCGTGGTAGTGCCTGCGATGTTCATGTGTTCAGTCTTGGAGTTGACCATACACATTGGATCTCAGACAAAATGCTGAGCAGCCCTACATCTAATGGTGAGAAAATATTGCCCTCTGGTGGACTGTGTGAAGATGATAATTAACTTACCGTAGCTCTGATAGTTCTTTTTTATTTGAACAAGGTATTGTGCCCTTGGAGGATATTAATTGGCAAAAATAAAAATAGTTTCAATCAGCAGTTGAGGATGAAACATTCAATATTCCAGGGTACTGGAAAAGTTCTCTCCCCATTTGTTACATACACACACACATAGATAAATGTTACTTGCAATGATGGCCAGTTTATTGCAGAAATACATTAAACCATGAATCTTATCTTAACCATGAGTTAGCTCTTTAGAATGCAGTGCTAAAACTACAAAACGCTGTTGTCATCTATACAGTTGAGATTATTTTTAAAAATCAATAAAAATCATATCTTCCATATGTGATGCATTTATATGTATATCCGTCAGTTATATACATACAAATACATCAATTTTTACAACAAAACATAACAGTACACAAGATATAATACTAGTTACCAATATATAACTGTATTCTGAAAAAAAATTTTGGCATACAAATCTTGGAATATCTGCCATTATACTAAAAGTACTGTAAAATAAGCCATTTATAGTCAGTGTCCTGAAATACACTTATGGGCAGTGTCTGAGTGATATTCACATGTTTCTTTAGTGCGGTCTAACAGTAACAATATATGCATTATATAATTTAATTCTCCTTTGTATTATTTGCTGCTTGCTACAATCCAGGAGTACCTTTCTTGTGCAATCCTGTTACAGTACTTCTTCCAGAATTTGTGACTTCCTTTCTTTTCCTCTTCCACTGTAAGATCCTGGCTGGGAGGCCTGCAAAACCTTTTGGAACAGATGTTTGGTGTTATGGTGGGAGTGAAGAAAGTGCCGGTTCAGTTAGCAGTAGATGTACTGTTGTATCTGATCCCTAATATTTATTTAATATCTTTCTGCTAAAGAGGGGCCCAATTCTACTATGTTAAGCTCTTCTAAAATCAGTACAAAACTTACATTGATACAGAATGTTCAATACCACAAAGGTATAGCATCAATGTGATTGATATTTATGAACTCTAAGATGTTCGTTTTTTAAAATTAGTGGATGTATATAGATTTTTTAAAATGGGAGGACTAAGAATGAGATAGTGTGTATTTTTGAAACACTCTATTTCAGTCTTGTAGGGTAAAATGTCTGTTGTCTTTGTTGATGCAAATAAGTCTACAGTCATTTGCAACTTACTGTAGATGCAAACAACGCTAAACTCAACAGGATGTATTTTCAATTAAATGGACAGATTTCTAATGGGCTATTTATTTTTCTTGTGAAACTGGGTTTTCCTTCTGCTTAACATTGAATTGCAAGTATTATTTCAATATGGTGCTTTTCATAGATGTTACAACTATTTGTTTCTATTTTATGTATCTATTTTTATCCCCGGGAAGAAAACAAATATCATGTTAGAAAAATGAAGATTATATCAAGAATTAATCCTAATGCTCTCGCATACTCCATGACCACACTGGGTGCTGGGATGATGAACAGTATCTTCAGTTTCTATTATGTTAAACTCTTTTTAAATCGATACAGAATTTCAGAAGCCGCATTCCACCAAGCACAGGTACAACAAATACATTTGTTTTTCTTTTGTGTCTTTTTTGTACGTGTGTTTGTTTTTATTGCAAAGCATGTCAGTGTATTAACTGTACACAAATGCACCGGAAAAAACCTTTTAGGCGTAGTGACTTTGAGATAACAATGTCTGTTCCATTGTTAGAAGTTGTCTATTCTGAACTCTAGTGTGATTTCTACATACTGCTCAAAAGATCAGGATCATTTATCCACATACATTTTGTGCCTTAAATTCTATTAGCAATTCTGTTAATGGGACTATGACTGATATCCTTCTGATATCAGTCACAGTCCCATTAACAACACTGCTAATAGAATTTAAGGCACAATACATATGTGGATAAATGACTCTGATCTCCTTCTGATATCAGTCATCTGTCATAACCTGTTTTTGTCTGCGCCTCAGAAAAGCTAATAAGGATTAACGAACTCTGGAATTTGTAATCTTTTAGATAGCTTGTCACACATAAAGAGACATTTTGCTCTCTCACACACACAAGATTCACATATAAATGCTGGTATGCTTTCTCTTTGTTCTAGAGCAGAATCTGGGCTTGTACAGTACCTCATGTTGATGGGGTTACTTTCTATTTTATTGCTGTTCCTGATTGATTACAGCATATATTACAAGACTGGTATGCATTAGAAGGAAGCAGAAAAATAATTACATGCATGTCTGCTAAAATGATATGCAGTTTAGTCTCATAGGTTGCCTCATGATAATCAGTCTGCAAGCTGGGTCTGAGGCCCAGAAGAAATCTATCTGTGGTAGAACTGCACTTTCCAAGTGATCTGTTAGCACCAGCAGAAATCGAAGGCTAGGCACAAAGGATCCCTTGTCTTCTATCTAGGAGTCTCCTATCAGAGGTTTTGTATTTCTGTTGAAAAAGAGAACCTTTGGATGCAGTCATGCCCATACAGTTTGGACTCTGTTCTTATGGTCAGTGCAAACAAATTAGTAAACTATGGGCAGATATTTTGATTGTGTATTTGACCTTCATTTCCATTTACTTATGGAAGTAGTTAAGAAACATATTAAATTTATCAAATCAGTACATCTGTTTTTCCCTTGGATTAATTGATTTAGTTGAGGCTGTCATACCACTCCTCCACATTTGTATTAGCTTTATTCTCTTCTTTGTAATGCTGAAATATCTTTTTGCTACGATAACTAGTGAGTTACTACCTCCCCTCCACGGAAATGTACAAATACTACTCATTTGGTACATACTTACACATTTCTACACATTGGAAGACAGTGTACCTCTGTTGATATTATATGCTGTCAAGTCATACCTTACTTTATTTTATTTATTTATTTATTCGATTTTTACCCCGCCCCTTTAGACAACGTCTGCAACGTTACTTATGGCAACCTTATTAGGATTCTTATGGTATGTGAAGTATTTAAGGAGTAGTGTTTCCAATGCTGCCCCCACTCCAGTGAGCTTTGGTCGCTGAAAGGGGATTTTAACCCGGGTCTCCTGAGTCCTAGTCTGTTACACTAGCCATTACACCACTTAGGCCACATTACACCACATACATCACATAGTCTGTTACACTAGGCATTACATCACATTCCTACTGTTTACTATGGCCAAGATCCTGTCTCAGATCATAGTAAGCTGTACTAAAGTAGGCCCATTGGATCAATGGTGATTTGCTGAATCAGTTCCTCTATAAGTTCTATTGATTTAAATAAGCCTATGACTTAGGCTTATTTAAAGCCTAAGTGGTATGACTATGCTAAAGTATGTCACGGAGTAGACAAAACTGCAGTGGCATCCATGTACCACACATGTATATAGACACATAAAAAAAGGTAAAGGTTCTCCTTGACAATTTTTGTCCAGTCGTGTTCGACTCTAGGGCGCGGTGCTCATCCCCTTTTCCAAGCCATAGAGCCAGCGTTTGTCTGAAGACAGTCTTCCGTGGTCACATGGCCAGTGCGACGTAGATATGGAACGCTGTTACCTTCCCACCGAAGTGGTCCCTATTTATCTACTTGCATTTGCATGCTTTCGAACCGCTAGGTTGGCAGGAGCTGGGACAAGCGACGGGTGCTCACTCCGTCGCGTGGATTTGATCTTACTACTGCTGGTCTTCTGACCCTGCAGCACAGGCTTCTGCGGTTTAGCCCGCAGCGCCACCACGTCCCTATATAGACACATACTCCTTGATTTTTCTGAAAGTTCTGTTTCTCAGCAGCTGGTCTCATAGAACCCAGAAATCATTGCCTTAAGCATCTCAAAAGTACAGTTTAAAATCCCTGTTGGCTGTGAATCTCATCAGGTGACCTGAGCCAGTTCCTTTCTGTCTAGCTTGTCTTGTTTTGAAGATAAAAAGGATGAGAGCTTGTACATTGTCCTGAGCCTCTGAGAGGAAAGGCAGAGTAAAAAGTACTCTTGAGCCTCTGAGAGGAAAGGCAGAGTAAAAACTACTTTTACAACAAATTTATTCTTCAGCCAAAGGCCCGATAAAGAGTAAAAACTGAATGAGTTTGAAAATAGAACTTACATTTAGTCTTATATTAAAACACAATTAACATGTTCTACGGTATTTTGCTGTTGTCCTCTTGAGTGACACATTATTTATTAGGCAAAAACAAACTTTTATTCTACAGCCAAAGGCCTGATAAAGAGTAAAAACTGAATGCGTTTGAAAATAGAACTTACATTCAGTCTTATATTAAAACACAACATGTTCTATTTTCCTGTTGTCCTCTTGAGTGACACATTATTAGGCAAAAACAAACTAAAAAAAATAAAGAAGACAAAAACATTGTGGCACCTTAAAGCTGATACAGTATATTTTAATGTGAGCTTTTGTGAACAAGTCCATTTCCTCAGACTAAGGAAGTGGGCTTGTCCATGAAAGCTCACATGAAAATACAGCAGTTAGTCCTTCAGGAGTCACAATGTTTTTGTCTTCTTTGTTTTTTATTTTTCTTTTGTTTTTGCTTGATATGCTATCAGAGCCTAATCTGCTACCGTTTCTAAAACTGCATTATTTATTCTTTCCCATGTAATATTTGTATTGCATTTTTGGTGGTGTGAGCTATGGTTCCCTGTGTGGGGTAGTTGATAGAGTGACTGACTAGGAAGGACTCTGGAGAACAGGGTTTTAATCCCTGCTTAATTATGGAAACTCACTGGAGGAGTGGAACTGGTTTAAAAAAGCCCTCTACAAATATCTTACTTACCTTGAAAGCCCTGTTAATGTTGTTATAAGTCGGTTCTGACTTGATGAAACAGAACAACAAGCTGCTCTGTGATTTTTGTCAAGTAGGGTAAACAATTGAAAAAAAACCTGTTGTTTTGTCTTGTTTTTACCCAGGTTGTTTTTATGATATGGAATGCTGTTAATGATCCTCTCTTTGGATATATCCAAGATAATTCCAGGGTGCCATGCTGCTCTCGGCGTCAGTTTTCGATTCTGTATGGAGCACCTCTGTATGGTTTGGCCTTTTTGCTTCCTTGGTTTCCTTGGAAACAATATGAAGAAAATGACTGGCTTAGTGGCCTTCATCTCATCATCTCTTTGTGTGCTTTTGATGGCCTGCTCACATTTGTCTTGCTAGCACAATGTGCACTCTTCGCTGAAATTTCTACTAAACATGAAAGTAGGCTCCAGCTTATTAAGTATAACCAAGTGGCAACCTTAGTTGGGTCCACAAGCATCCTTTTCTGTGGCCTAATTACAGACAATATGGAGAACTTTAACTATTTTCAAGTCTTTGTGGTTGTGGTAGGAGCAGTAGCAACTGTCTGCATGTGTTATACTGGATTGTATAGCACTACTGAGTATGAACAACAGGAAATTGTTGCAGATGGGTCTCAACTAGGAAGTGCTGAGAGGGATCTGTCTTGGTCTTCCGTAATTTTGTTGACCAAGCAGATCCTGACTCAGAGAAATTTTTTGCTTTTTGTGACCATGAACTTCTTTCAAGTCTTCCACCTGGCATTTTGCAACAATTTCATGATGATCTTTGCAGATAACCTCATTCCTAAGGATGTTCTCTCATCCTCTATCAGAAGCATCATGTATGGAGCGGGCTTTATTTGTCCTCAGGTAGGCAGAGAATCTGTTCTTTTCTCTCAAAAGATAAATGTGTTGATTCCTGACCAATGTATTTCCTTACTCTACTTGCAAGAATAATTATTCATTTTGTTGCAGACAGCTTTTTCATACCGTAGAACAAATATTTGGCTGTACTACACTTGATCTTAGCAAAAAGGTTGAGAGAGTTGTATAGACTTTTCCAGATAAATTCAGCATTTTTTGTTTTGACTAAAGGAGGTAGTTCCAAACTGCTGTACATGTAATAACTTCTATACTCTCTCTCTCTCTCTCTCTCTCTCTCGGCTTTGAATATAGGGAAAGACAGAAAATAATGAACAATTAAATATATTTTAGATTGTTTTTTAAAAACTAACTGACAAAATATGTGGAAATCCCTCTGTATGTATGGGAACCTGACATAATAATGGAAGAATAAGTAATGTGAGCCTGATATAATAATGGAAGAATAAGTATCAGAGTAGAAATATTTTAATATGAATTGTGATTCTGAAAAGCAGGTGAGTCAGTTATACAGTGGTTCTCAAATTATAAAACTGGCCTCTTCTTTGCTGGGGGAATTTGGTGACCAGTTATCCCTTGATTGCCAGCTTTTGTCTTGCATAGGAGGAGACCACTTTAATTACTAGTGTTTTTTCTGTACCTCTACCTCCTTTTCATCTTTATACACCAGGAGCATTGTAACATATGTTTGTGCAGCTATAGAACTTGGAGGTACAAGCTAGGCATTCTGTGGCATTGTCATCTGAACAAATGTAAACTATTTATTTCCCCACAGTTCCGCTCTTTGTACCACGTGTAAGCTCTGTGGTTGAAAACTGGAAATCATGGTCTAACTTAGTGATGGCCAACATGTCAACCACTGGCACGCACAGCCCTCTCTGTGGGCATGTGAGACATAAGTTGCCATTGAGAAATACTTACCCATCCTCCGATCCCGGATTTTGGGAAGAACTCTTGGGAAGGGAGGGAGAGACAAGACAGCAATGGCTGTCACTGCTACCACAAACACATACATACACACACACCCGGATGCCAGGCATGGAAACACTTTGACCTGCGCCTTTAAGGATTGCAGCTGGAGGTGGGGGGGCAGTGTCCCAGGCAGGTGCTGGAGATTGTGTGGCCAGAGGAGTGGGAGTCTTCGGGTGTGTGTGTGGTTGGTTTTGTGTTGCAGTTTAGGCACTTGGGCTCAAAAAGGTTCACCATCACTGGTCTAACTAGAGTTATCTTCTATGATGTACTTAGTTTATATTTTTTTTCTTGTCCTGGGATCTTAAAAAAAAAAGGATGGTATAGAGGTATTTTTTAAAATGTTGGTGCTGCAGTTACGATTAAATTCAAAATACTGTAGCCATAAATCAGATTGTAAGTAAATGAGACGACAACCCTGAACAACAATTTTGTGTGAATGATTACTCCATTCTCTGTACTGGACAGAGTTAACAGACAAAAGGATGATAGTTGTTGGGGAGAGGCAAGACTAATACAGAAATCTTATCACTATTGTGTACGGATGTTTCACTGGAGACCAAGGCCAAGATCATCCACACTATTGTATTCCTGATTACGAAGTACAGGTGTGAAAGCTGAACGGTGAAGAAAAAGGACAGCTAAATAATTGATTTGTTTGAAATATGGTGCTCGAGGAGAGCTTTGTGGATAGCCTTGTGGCGCAGTGGTTAAACTGCTGTATTGCAGCCAAAACTGTGCTCACGACCTGGGGTTCAATCCCAGGTAGCAGCTCAAGGTTGACTCAGCCTTCTTTCCTTCCGAGGTCGGTAAAATGAGTACCCAGCTCGCTGGGGGGGGGGCAATGTGTAGCCTGCATAATTAACTTGTAAACCGCCCAGAGCGAGCTTGAAGGGCTATGGGGCGGGATATAAGCAGCACGCTTTGCTTGGCTTGGCTTTGCTTTACCCTGGGCTGCTAGAAAGATGAACAAGTGAGTCCTAGAGCAAATCAAGCCTGAACTATCTCTAGGGGCAAACATGATGAAACTGAGGCTCTCGTACTGTGGGCACATCATGAGAAGGCAGGATTCTCTGGAAAAGACAATAGTGCTGGGAAGGCAAAAGGAAAAGAAGACTTAAGTATGAGATGGAATGACTCCTTAAAGGAAGCTACAGACTTGAGTTTACAAGAGCTGATCAGGGCTGTTGAGGACAGGACATTTGGAGGAGCGCTCATTCATAGGGTCGCCATACATTGGAGGCAACCTGATGGCATATAATAACAACAAATCACTTCCATGGCAGAGTATAACTGATATTATTGTCGTTATGGCTCTCCATTATTGACCATCATGTTGGATAATAAGTATAGACATCATTATATGAAATGTGTACAACAGCTACAGTACGCAAAGCAAGATAGGGAGTTGCTTTAATTAAATTTGACATCTGTTTTAAGCACCTGCGCATAAGCACAGTGGCATTGAATAGGGCAAAGCAGGAAAAGAGAGTCTAAAATGTTTACGGGTGGGTGGTGGTTGTTCTTGATGGGGGAACTGAAGCTGGAGTTATGCTTATGCATTTCTGTGTGCAAGAAATGCTTCTCTTTTGCACTTTAAAATGTTGATTAGTTTTACTTACGCATCTGAGAAACTGCAATAAACAGTTGTGTTGCCAACCCCCTGTTGTCTGGAATTTGAACTATAATGTGCCTATGGCTTTTGAAAAGACACATTCATCGTTTATATTAGTTGATGATATATGTTACTTATATACATATTCTAGAACTGTCAGACATAGCTTTGTCATCTGCTTATACGGTATAATAAAATATAATGTGTCTGTAGCCAGATCAGAAACAGGTATATTTGGCTGTTCAGCTTCTGCAAAATGTGCTGATGCACTCCCACCAAGCACCAAAAACATTGAGGTTCAGAGCTAATCCATCAGTGTATCCAGACTGTACGCCTGAGTCTTCAAAAAGGGTGTGACCTCGTCTAACATTGACTGAGTCTCTTTCCTTGTTCCTGGAACATTATATATGACAGATCAATACGCCTTTCTGCTCTCTCTCTCTCTCTCTCTCTCTCGGCTTTGAATATAGGGAAAGACAGAAAATAATGAACAATTAAATATATTTTAGATTGTTTTTTAAAAACTAACTGACAAAATATGTGGAAATCCCTCTGTATGTATGGGAACCTGACATAATAATGGAAGAATAAGTATCAGAGTAGAAATATTTTAATATGAATTGTGATTCTGAAAAGGAGCTGAGTCAGTTGTATATCATATGGAACAGTGGTTCTCAAATTGTAAAACTGGCCTCTTCTGTGCTGGGGTAATTTGGTGACCAGTTATCCCATAGATTGCCAGCTTTTGTCTTGCATAGGAGGAGACCACTTTAATTACTAGTGTTTTTTCTGTACCTCTACCTCCTTTTCATCTTTATACACCAGGAGCATTGTAACATATGTTTGTGCAGCTATAGAACTTGGAGGTACAAGCTAGGCATTCTGTGGCATTTTCATCTAACAAGTGTAAACTATTTATTTTCCCACAGTTCCGCTCTTTGTACCACATGTAAGCTCTGTGGTTGAAAACTAGAAATCATGGTCTAACTTAGTGATGGCCAACGTGTCAACCGCTGGCACGCACAGCCCTCTCTGTGGGCATGTGAGACATAAGTTGCCATGGAGAAATACTTACCCATCCTCCGATCCCGGATTTTGGGAAGAACTCTTGGGAAGGGAGGGAGACCCAAGACAGCAATGGCTGTCACTGCCACCACAAACACATACATACACACTTGTGACCTTGTTTAACATTGACTGAGTCTCTTTCCTTGTTCCTGGAACATTATATATGACAGATCAATACGCCTTTCTGCTAGTACAACTACTATGTTATTAAAAACTACAAAAAGGTGCAAGTGACATTTTCATACAAATTTCCATGACCCAAATAAAGATGCACTAGAAATTCTTAACCCCTTTATTTTTTCCTGTTAAATTTCAGTGCCTTGTGCTCATCAGTCAAGCTTTGTTGAAGAAATTTGGGTACTATAAGATTGTCTTATTTTCTTTCTACTTGGAAGGAACAGCTGCAGCTGTCATGTTTTTTCTAGGCCCAGAATATTACTACCTCTTGGCTGTTTATCTCACAGCGAACATGTAAGTAAAATATTTATCTTATGTTTTAAGAATGTAATTTGGATCCTAATTATGCCTCCCTGGATAGCTGATAGGGCTGTGTGTGGCATCTATGTGGCCCTATGTATGCTCCATGGTCCTGGATAATCAACTGGATAACCACTTCAGAAAACTTTTTATCTAGAAAGCCCTTGGAGGATTGCTATAAGTCAGAATTCAGTTGAAAGCACCTAATAGATTAGAGAGTTGTGATCATCAGGCTTGGGTTGCAGCTCCCAGGATGCTTGATGGTTGGCTAAGAGTTCTAGTCCAAAACACATAACATCTCTGTGTGGGAAAGATGCCTTATAAAACAGTTCTTCGTAGTAGTGCAGGCACTTCTTTTTTATGCCAGCAAGCACAACAAACACATAAGCCATCAACATTTTTAAACTTCTGCCTGTATACATTTTTCATTGCATTGGCAAAAATATAATTAATGTATTAAAATTACTATATTATTTCCGAACTCATGACCACATTAATTCATATGAAAAAAACCACAACAATCTAGGATTCTCTAATGGAAAATGGACACATAGTGAACACTATGAAGTACCACATGCCAAATAGTTTTAAAGTTGTGGACTGGGTTGAGAGTATAAAGTTGATACCAGCTGCCTGGAAAAAAATAGTAATCTAAATGGTAAGATAAATCAGGGATGAGTGGAATGTATATCTCAAATTAAATAAAATCAGGTGGCCATCAGCTCCAATCAGCTTTTGCCAGCAGCATGGCAATTGGAATTTGATGTGTCAGTTGCCCAAGTATAGGTGTATCGACAGCAGTCAAGTTAACGAACTAGATATTTGATAAGAAGGCCAAAGGTTAACACTTTTCAAATGAAAAGTGAATGTTTATGCTAACGAGATGTTAGTTATTGTCAAATTTTATTATTAATATCTGTAATAATATGGAATTGAAATACTGTGTTTTATAGTAGTAAAAATGTTTATCTTATAAATGTTATGTGTCCAGAATAATGACATCTAACCCTTTCCCTGATTCTTTAGGGTAATTGTTCAAGCTTCCTTCAGTCTGTTTAATTTGCCTTTGGCTGATATTGTGGATGCAGATTTAGTGAAACATAAACGAAGGTAAATCTCTTCCTTTTTTTAGTACTGTCTACACTTTTATCATAGGTAATAGTGCTGAATTATTTTTCATGTTAGTGTTAACTTGGTGAAAAGTTCTACATTCTGTAGTATTTTTCACAGCATGCAGTTTTACACAGATTGTTTCTCCCCCATCCACCCCACTCCTTTTTGCTGCCACAAATAAATGTAGCTCCTGGTAGGATCAGTCGATCGCTGATCTAAACGTTTCAGGGCTTCTCTATACAACTTGGCTGGAGCAGACTAAATAGGCTCAATAGGAGGACCAGAATGCCATTTGGTGTGATCCTTGCCTCCAAATAGCATAGAGACCTCAGACTACTCTATTTGGTCCAACCTGTTTTGTCTGCAGCAGCCTTTGCTACTTAATAAAGACAGATACTTCAAGATATTGGCAAATTAATCACTTCCTTGTCTCCATGCAGGGCCCGAGGAAATGAAAGGAAAAAAAGGTTGAGTGTGCATTTTGACAGCGAAGAGTCACTGCGTCCTATTAAATGGAAAGCTTTCTCCTGGAAGCTGTTCTTTGCTTTGCTTTCCAAGGTCCAGTGGAGAGAGCCTGTTCACAGCTGAACTGGGCAGGTTCTCAACCAGACCTTGAAAAGCATCTGTTTAAAGTGATGTGGTGAATATTTGCTGCAAAATACACAATTCCCTCCTCCCACTTCCTTGGACCCTCACAGAGCCAAAAAAGTGATAAATTTTCCAAAATCCAGAAGTAACTACTGTATCTTCAGCCACAGTATTCCCAGTGAATACACACACTGGACAATCAAGTGTTGATGCACACCCATTTCTTTCAGAACAACCCATAGTTTCTCATGATCCACCCAGTCAAAGGCTTTGCTGTTGTCTATAAGGCATAGACTTTCTTAGATGTACCCCTTAACATGGTGAAAGGGATGGAGTGTGTCAGTGAAGCTGAGAGCTATGCCATCAGGAGGACTCATAACCCTTTATGAGTCTGGACTTCTAGCAGGATCACCCAAGGTGGGTTAGTCACAGCTGAGACACCAGACTAAAACGCATCTACCCTCTTCAAAGGTCACATAGTAGAAGAGAATGAATAATGGAGGTGATGGAGGCAGTGGAGAGACGCTGCTAAATGAAACAAGAGTGGTCCCACCTGCACCAAAGTGTAGAAGCCCCCAACAGGGGCCAGAAGGGTGTGGGAAGGGATGCTCTGTGGACAGTTTGTTTCACTCCAGCAATTACGTTGCGTGATCGCCATCAAAAAGAGCAAACCAACCCGTCTCTTCAGTGGACCGAACAGCAGGACAAATGTCTGTTTGATCTCATCTTTATTTAACTAATAAAGTTGTAAGGGAAAGGGTTTTAGATATTGTCTTTTAATTGTTATAAATCCACCTTGGATCCTTTTAAGAAGGGCGGAGTAAAAATATTTAAAATATATAAATAATTGTAAATATCCCCTTAGAAAATAGCTATGATGTTGAATGTAGAATCATGATCTCTTTATTTTGCTTTAGGTTTGTGTGACACAAGAGATGAGGGTCCACATTTCTAGAAAGGGCCTAGCGGTAGACCCTTTCTGTTTTTTTCCCCCAAGTAGAAATTATCTTCCAGACATTGCTTTCAGGGATCTGAATACAATGTTTGAGCGTGGCCATAGTGACACCAAGCATTACATATGACAATTTTTAAAGAAGTCTGACAATTTATTTATATGACTGTATTATGTAATACAAATCTATGCTTAAAATTTCAGGTTGCCACTTTCATCAATGGTTTTTGGAACAAATGCTCTGTTTACAAAACCAGCACAGTCTTTAGCCCCTATGCTTGTGGTTGCAATATTGAATCAGTTTGGATATGCCCATCTCAATAATAAAGCTACTCAGCCTGATCCAAGGTAAAAGGCAGATTGTAATTAAACTCATCATTGATCTTGTCCTAAAAATATGTGCTAAGTATATACTAGGAAGGACATTGTTTTAGGTGTACTGCGGTTTCACCATCACTTCCAGGATACTAGGAATTTAAAAGTAGATTTACTGAAAGAATATAGAGAGCATTGCAATAATCTAAATGGGCGGTAACCAAGATACGCATCACCAAGCCAGGCTTCTCAAGGAATGGGTGTAGTTTTAATTGGAAACATCTCTCTGGCCATCCAGGTTGAGAGACATTATGAATTGGTCAGACACTGTGATACATTCATATTCATATTGTTGATTTTCTACATGCTTCATGAAGGAACTCAACATCTTTTTAAAAGTATGGTTCCCTAATCCTAATGGAGGAAAGCCAAGGATGATCTTGTTGAAGTGTTAGGAGAATGTAACTCTGATAATAATATGATACATAACCATTTCTTCTTTTTGCAATTACTGTTGAAAATGCTGGGCACTGTGACATTTGGACTTCTCTCCCAGTTTGTTTCTAGGTCTCCATGATGCCATGTTCTCCATGATTTGCCTGGTTCCTCTTTGCATTGCAGCTTTGCAGGTTCTGACATGGACACCCTTTTCTATCCAGAACAGCCACTTGACGCCTGTACATAAACTGTAAATATTTGCATCAAGGAACCGACAGCCAATGTCAGATGTGAATGAGAACACTGGATTTCTTTGATTCTTTGGAGCAATTTGAGCCATTTAATGTTCATCTGTTATGTCTGTAAACATTATTACTGAGCACATTGTTATGAAGCAAGTAGCTCTTTCTAGTTCAACTATCATAACAATAATTGAAGAAATATAAACACCTTTACTTCACATCTGGACTCCAGAGTAAACAGCATCACTGTAGATGGAAAGCTATGAACATTCCTCCAAATCATCCTGATTTGGAGAAGGCAAAGGCCCATAATAATCTCAAGAAGGTGCATTTAGTCAGCCTTGTTAACCTGGAATACTGCTTCCCCATTTGTTATAAATAAATCAGAAGAGTGGATGAGATATGTTTCAGGGGCATTTAGCAAAGAAGCAAAAAGTTAAGGAAAGAATAAGTGGAGGGGGAGGATGAATATGTGTAATATGCATTTTCACCAGAGAGCAATGAAATTGATGTCTGTGCGTATCAAACACACTGGTGGCTACATACACAACCCTGCTGTTTGTCAGTGACAATGGAAAGGGATGGGAAGACGAAATGCATTAGAAGCTGGTTAGTAAGAAATACACTAAATCCAGGTGGTACAAAGGCGTGTTATTCTCTAAGATGGAAGGGAGACGTTCCCATCAAAATCCAGGATCCTGGTAAAAAGGCTTGGTGATGAAAGAAAATATATTTTGTGCTCCCATAGCATATTACAGTACACAAGCAAAATCTGAAACACATTCACACAATTTGATTTGACAGTATGGGACTGCTGCAAAAATATATTTACTAGGTACCCGGCCCACAAGCATTTGATGTCCTAGCTGCTTAATACTATGCCACTAAGGATAAACGTATGTAAAATTATATAGTGACATTTGGATTGTCTGTCAGGTTTTCTCTATCTTACTTCAAATAGCTGAACATAGATAGCATTTTGGATTTGTGCTTGTTAAAACCTTTTATAATTTTCTTCCTTTGTATAGACTTTATGATTCATGAAAAACTAATGTTATTTGATATATCACAAAGCCTGAATTATGCCATAACAAATTCTACCATCCTGTCGTTTGCCCAATAGATTATATATTATCATTTTGTTTCTTACGCATGGAATCTTATCTTTTTGGAAGTCCAAATATGTTTTAATTGAATTTAACACAACATAGGAAAGAGGAAATGACTTCGGAACTTGCTATAGGGTGTACCTCAGATGAAAAGTATCATCAGTTCCAGTAGGAAACACCAGCATTCAAAAGTGAGTGCACTTAAACATCTCCTCTCATGGCTTCCTTGAAATATTAATAGAAAAATCAGGTAGATGTGATATGGCATGATGATTGAATCAAGATTAGAGTGGAGATTATAAAAAACAATGATTTCTCAATGAGGAGTTTAGAAGTCTACCTCTTACTGATACTTGTTTGATAATAAATATTTTTTTTCTCCAGCCTCTAGTAAAATCCTGATTTTTCTCCATGTCCATGTAAAATGAAATGAACTTTCGTCATAAATATTCTCAGTGTTTCCTACTGTATACTATTGGGGGATTGATTTATTTTAGCATGGAATAGTTTGTAGTATAACTATCAGGTGCTTTTAGTAAACATGCTGACTTATGTAGAAATATTGTACCCAGTTTTATCAAGGAGGTGTATAGCAAAGTCATAACGGAGCACAGAGCAATCACACCTGCTGCCACATGCTTAAATGTAGCAGGACTGAATTAGATCAAGAAGTTTTTGTTGTTGTTGTTTAGTCGTTAAGTCATAGACCAGAGCACGCCATGTTCTCCTGTCTTCCACTGCCTCCTAGAGGGTCAAATACATGTTGGTCGCGTTGATGACACTGTCCACCCATCTTGTCCTCTGTCGTCCCCTTCTCCTCTTGCCTTCACACTTTCCCAACATCAGGGTCTTTTCCAGGGAGTCTTCTCATGAATGACCAAATCAAGTTCCTTAAATATGTTCTTCACTTCCACTGTATAATCATAAGGGATTTGGTTTAGATTATACCTGAGTAGCCCAGTGTTTTTTCCTACTCTCTTCAGTTTAAGCTTGAATTTTGCTATAAGAAACTGATGAATTGAGCTACAATCAGCCCCAGGTCTTGTTTTTGCTAACTGTATAGAGCTTCTTCATCTTTGGCTGCAGAGAACATAATCAATCTGATTTTGGTATTGCCCATCTGGTTATGTCCATGTGTAGAGTCGCCTCTTTGTTGTTGGAAGAGAGTGTTTGTGATGACCAGCTTGTTCTCTTGACAAAACTCTGTTAGCTTCGTTTTGAACTCCAAGGCCACACTTACCTGTTGTTCCTTTTATCTCTTGACTCCCTACTTTAGCATTCCAGTCCCCTATAATGAGAAGAACATCTTTCTTTGTGTCAGTTCTAGAAGGTGTTGTAAGTCTTCATAGAATTGGCCAATTTCAGCCTCTTCAGCATTGGTGGTTGGTGCATAAACTTGGCTTACTATGATGTTGAAAGGTGTGCCTTGGATTTGTATTGAAATCATTTTATCATTTTTGAGATTGTATCCCAATACAGCTTTTCCCACTCTTTTGTTGACTATG